ATAAAAAATATCAGCAAGCGCCAATAGTTCGAAAAGGCCGAGAAAAAGGGATTCAAAGTTGCAAAAACCTCTTAATCGTTCATTTATTGGTGCCACTACCCTACTAACAATTTTAACATACAGCATGGAAAATTTAGAGGAAATTATAAAGGAAGAAATTACAGAGTAAATAATAGAGAACCAAATACTAATAATGAAATAAATAAAGGAAGTTTTCTCACATTTGTTGCATTGAATACAGACATTAATACAGAAAAAGAAAAGTTCATATTAGATACTGGAGCTACAGAACACTTAATAAAAAATGATTTAGAGAAATATATGACAAACATAAAAGTTTTAGAGAAACCTATAAAAATAGTTGTTGCAAACAGCAAGTGCATGTTGGCATATAAAGTTGGTGACTTATTAGTTAAAATAGATGGAATAGAGATAAACATTGAAGGTGGATTGATTGTTGAAGAATTGAAATTTAACTTATTATCAGTATCAAAAATAATAAACAAAGGTTTTGAAATTAAAATAAATAAAAGAGGCATAATACTGTATAATAATTATAAAGGAATAAGATTTCAAGCACCTCAAGTAAATAAATTATATACACTACAAGTTGATATAGAAACTAAATAAAACTCATTAAATAAAACTAGTTTAAACGGGATAATGCACGAAACTTTATTTATTTATTGACGTTTCGTAGCCTTTCCAGGCTTCGTCGTCAGAATAAAACTTTTGTTTAATTTGTCGAGCTACCTTCGAAAGACTTTTATTGAGCGTTTGGTTATTTCATCGTTCGATTTTTTTTTTTTTTTTTAAGTTTTATTGTCTATGTATGAATTTATTATTTAATTTACTTAATAAAGTATTTTATTTAAAATACTAGTTTTACTCAAGTTTATTTAATGAGTGATGTGCGTGAAAACCTAAGAAACAAATATGATATAGAAACTGTTCATGTGAACCAAGCAATTACAGCGAATACTTGGCATCAGCGACTAGGTCACTTAAATAGAAATAGTATGAAGATACTTGGCCTACCAGTTAGTAAGGAAAAATGTGAAACATGTATAGAAGGAAAAGCATGCCAATTACCATTCGACAATAATTATAATACAAGTAAAAGAATTGGTGAGTTATTACATACAGACATATCAGGACCTATAAAAGATGAAACACCAGTAGGGTATAGATATTTTCAGGTAATCATTGATGACTATTCGCATTTTACTCAAGTCTATTTATTAAAAAGGAAAAGTGAAGCTGAGTTAAACTTAATATATTACATAAAAGAATTAAAAAGTACATTTAACGTTAGAACAAAAGCCATAAGAACAGACAATGGTGGAGAATTTAGTTCAGATCGATTTAAAAATTATTGTAAAAATAGAGGAATTGTATTACAATATACTATGGCATATACTCCGCAGCAAAACGGAAATTCTGAGCGGTTGAACAAAACTTTAATGAATAAAGTTAGAACAAAGTTTTTGGATACAAAATTACCAAAATTTTTATGGGGCGAAGCAATAAAAGCTTCAGCTTATAAGTTGAATAGATCTCCAACAGTTGCATTGAATGGAAAAACACCATCAGATATTTGGTATGGTAAAAATGACTTATCAAGACTCAGAGTGTTTGGTAGTAAATGTTGGGCAGTAAATTTGAAAAGAACAAGCAAATTAGATCCAAATGCACAATCATATATATTTGTAGGATATGATCTAGGAGGATTCAGATTGTGGTGTTCAAATGAAAATAAATTAATACGATCAAGAGATGTTATATTCGATGAAAGTAAATATGTATAATTGGAAGATAAAAACAGTAATAATTCAGAGGGAGAAATAAAAGAAATCTCAGATGGCATAAAAGTAATACAAGAAAATACACAAGTATATACAAATGAAGATAAAGAAAATGAAATGATTGAAGACATAGATAATGAAAACAAAGAAATTACAAATGAAATGAATGATAAAATATCAAAATACGGAAGAAAAATAAGAAAACCAAATAAATTAAATGATTATGAGACTTATGTTGCTTATTGTATGATTTCAGGAGAAGAATCTATAGAATATGAGGAAGCGACAAAGGATATGGAATGGAGAAATGCAATTAATAAAGAGTTGAAAGCATTAAATGACTTAGATACATGGGAAGAAGTAAATAAACCTAAAAATACAAAAACAGTGGATACAAAATGGGTATTCAAAGTAAAAGAAGACGGAACTAAAAAAGCTAGATTAGTTGCCAAAGGGTATCAGATAAAACAAAATAATAATTTTGAAATAATGTATGCACCGGTAGCTAGACTATCGACAGTAAGAATGATGTTATCTAAAGCAATTCAAGAAGATTTAGAAATAAGACAATTAGATATACCTACTGCTTTTTTGAATGGAAAGTTAAATTAAGAAGTTTATATTAATGTTCCTCAAGGTTTAGAATGTTGAAATAAAATTAACACAGTATTAAAATTGAAGTGTGCATTATATGGTTTGATAGAATCACCAAAGTGTTGGAATGATACTATAGATAAATTTGCAAAAGAAAATGGATTTAAACAATCAAATTATGATTATTGCTTATATTATAAGAATAATTGCTGGATGATAATTTATGTAGACGATATTATTTTAATTGGAGACACAAAAGATATAGTAAATTCATTACAGAAACATTTTAATGCTAAAGACTTAGGAGAAATAAAGAACTTTTTGGGTATGGAAATTTATAGAGAAGAAGATAAACTAATTATAAAACAAACTAAAGTAATAGAGAAGATTTTAAACAAATTTGGAATGACAGAGTGCAAAGGTATAAGTACACCAATAGAATCAAACTTAGATATAAAAAATGAAGAAGAAAGAAAAGACTTGCCTTACAGAGAATTGATGGGAAGCTTGATATACATTACAATGACATCAAGACCAGATCTTACATATGCGGTGTCATATTTAAGTCGTTTTATAGAAAAACCCACTGAACAGACATGGAAAGCAGGAAAAAGAATATTGAGATACATAAAAGATACTAAATACAGAGGACTACTGTTTAAGGAAAGTCAAGAAAATGATTTAATTGCTTACTCAGATGCAGATTGGGGGGCAGATAAGATAGATAGAAAAAGTGTAAGTGGTGGAATAATATTTTATAAAGGAAATCTTGTCCAATGGTTTTCAAAGAAGCAAAAATGTGTTTCGCTTTCTTCAGCAGAATCTGAATATATAGCTGCTGCAACATCAGCCCAAGAATTAGTAAATTTAAAAGGTATTTGTGAAAATTTTAATGACAGTGTAAATTCATTGCTTTTAGTGGACAATCAAGGTGCAATAATGATGCCAAAGTGTAACGAGAACTCTAAACGAACAAAACACATTGATATTAAATTCCATTATATTAAAGATCTTGTGAGGAAAAATATTATAAAAATTAATTATGTAAGTACTGAAAATAATATTGCTGATTTATTAACAAAAGGTTTGTGTAAAGAAAAATTCAACAAATTTGTAAAAGTTTTTATTGTATAATGTGGTAATAAAAATGTATAATTAACATAAATCTGATTTCATATATTATGTAAACTTATGATAACAATATGTAAAAGAATTTGTAGAACATTGTGTAAAACAATCTTAGTAAAGTTATAATTTCATACTTTGTGTAAGTGCAATTTAAAATTTTGTAGTAAATTTGAAATTGAGAGGGAGTGTTGGATATGATAAGTATCAATACTGTAAGCCAATGCTATAAACTATTATGTCATAGCTATTATTAAAAATAAAAGTCTCTGGTTGCTCTCTTCTCTCTGGACTGTGCTTGGAATGTTACGCTCTTACCGAAAATGTGATTATATTAAATATTATGTTACACTCCTGATTCTTATAATGAATAAACGATTTGTCCAAAACGCAGATTGTTTCAACATTCCTGTCAACAATCCGCCTCTTTTCCAAATTACCTAATAACCTGCCCGTATACACCAAAAACATCCGATCACTACAATACCTACCATTTATTACTCTCGTAAATTATTTCATAATGATATTTCATCTAATTCAATAATGTATGTAGTTTATTTATTCAATAACGTATGTAGTTAAGTAAGTAGATAGACTAGTTTAGGAAACTACCTACCTATTATGTAGTTTTGTTTTTAACGCGAGCGTAGGTAGATTGCTCGTTTGTCTCTTTTTTCATTCTATCCACTTATTTATATATTTCAGATATTTTGCACGACGGAAAAATCGAAACACTAACCTAATATTAAAAAGCATATTACGTACTAGTAAGTAGATAGGTATAGAAAAAAAATATTCTATAGTCTTACCTTTCCAATATTTCAGGTAATTTAAATATTATTTATTTCACTCATCTATTATAATCAGGTAATTTAAAAAAATATATCTCTGGGTGCGTTATTGAAGAGTTCAAGCAACCAAAACCAGCACAATATCGTCTATAGTTCTTTGCCATATTAAATTATGTAGGTATCTACTTAATTCAATACAATATTTACAATACAAATCGCACGTGCTTAAGCACGGCTAACTGCATAAAAAACAAATCACACCGTTCGGTCGTCGCTGCGGTGCATTCGCGACTGGGTGCCCACCGAGAGTCCCGCGAACTCGAGTGGCGTCGTAGGTATGACTCGCTTTTCGACCGTTTGTATGAAGATAGAATACTGTATAGATAATATTACCGTGACTCTACCGTCTGCGCGTCGCGCTTCGCGCTCTTGCATTGCGCAGTCGGGTAAAAATACAAGTACGGTCTCGCTCGCTCGATTGAATATTGCATGTAGTTGAGTCGGATCCTTAGAGCATTTATACCTGCTCTAAGGTCGGATCATATTTTATTTGATGCTAGTATGAGCCTACCGTATCTACACTTTTTGTTTTAATCTAATGATACATCGCTGTGGTCTTCTGTAAGGTGGACACCAAACAGTCCTACCTACTTCATGGAAAGAATAAATTAAGGAATTTAATTACCGTCTGAATTTGTCTGGAACATCTCGGAGACTGAGTTGGAGTGGTACTAGATTGATTTTGAGTATCTGGACATGTCAAAAGGTGATGAAGTTTATAGCCTTTTGCGAGTTGTTCCACAGTTTTACCTTAAACAAATTCATAAAAAAAGTTTTACTTAGATGCTGTGACCTAATAACTAGGTATTTTAGTTGTTCATTTATTACGTAATTAATGATGAAGTAGGTACGAACCTGTTAAACTTGTCGGTATATTTGTGTTGCATCGTCCTGTCGATAAAATATTTTCTAATGCTAAACTGTTTTGAAATATTATAGCAACTGCAGCTCCATCTGCAAGTTGCGATGAATCACAATAAGATAATAAAAAGCTCCATTTATCTCCAGACCAATTTTGACCCGAATACACGGCTAATTGAAGAGTAGATGCACCTGTTGAAAGCATAATAATTTTTAGGTACTTTGTTATTTAAATAAAAACATTTAAATGTTTAAGGTAGTTGAGTAATTATTATTTAATAAAAAAAAATCGGGAAGTTATGAATAAAAAAAAGATCGGGAAGTAACGAATGGACTTCCGTACCTGTACTTAATATTTTACGTAGGTAAATCAATTATCAATCCAATATCCAGAACAAGGAGCCTCTTATTTGATAAAGTTATAGTATGTACACAAATCTAAAAACTTAACAATCCTACTAAAATTATAAATGTAAAAGTTTGTCTTTGTATGTTTGTTACTCAATCCCGCAAAACCTGCTTTAAACCTGCTGATTTGGATGAAATTTAGTACGCGTATACTTTATGACATGAAATGAGACATAGTATACTATTTATCTCGGAAAAATATCAAATTTCTGTAGGATTCTGAAAAAACAAGAATTATAAAATAATCGCCGATGGCCGCTAGTAAATTATAATTATTGTACTTACCAGCAACGCTCAATAAATGTGGATTGGCTCCAAACTGAAGTAGTGATTTCACTATCAAATAGAATCCATTGCGTGCTGCTAATCTGATCGGCCATCCTCCCTCTAAGTTTGGATCTAAACCATCTTTTAGCAATTCTGTAATCTCTCTTTCATTATTATTAAGAATACAACTTTTAATTTTAACTGCGTTAATTTCCATTTTTTTATTTCCAATAAAACTGTCACACTCACAGCATAAGGGGACATCAATTATGGAAAAAAGTTAAAAGTACCCGCAGTACATAAATTGTTAATGATATCTGGTAGATATACCTGTGTTCTGTGAGATATACAATGACATAAGATTATTAGGCCCCGGTATAGATTTAATTATTTTGAATTTAATTTAATTTCGGTTATTGTCATGATCGTGACAAGATTCGCAAATGTGTAGAAGCCTACGTGAAGGTTCGTGCACTGATGTGCGTCTGTCAAAAACTGTCGTAATTACATTATGAGGGAATACCCTACTTTTTAATTGCCCCACCTTAAAACATAGCGGCAGGCTTCGAAGAGCGGCATGCCCCTGCTGATGCCCTACCTGTAATTAACGCTGCCCTAACTCAAATACAACTCTGGTTACGGCCCTGAGCGCTTGGCGCACGAATGTAGCTTAAGCTTCGCAAATGTCGTCCCACACATGCGATTTCGCGAATTCGTGCGAAAGTGAATGACCGGGGTAAAGACCATTAAACACCGACACAGCTTGGAAAAGCACGAATGTAGCGAAAAGTTTGTTAAGTCATTCGCAAATGTCGACCCACACAATACACGCGGGCTCGCGTATTCGTGTGAATGTGAGTATATACTAGTATACTCTATGATGTGAGGGGTAAGAACGACGAACCACAGACCAATAAGAGAACAAGCGACGAACTCTGGTGAATTAATTAAATTAAGTTGAATTAAAATAATTTACCTATCTATGGTCAAATTAACCCGGATTGTGGTACAGACAAAGACGTTATATAATACCTAGACTGTGCACGAAAAAAATTCGTTAATCTAAAGTAAAATTTATATCTGTAGTCAGTGGCGGCGCTAGACCACATGTGGACGTCGGCGACATCAAGTTCACGAGGCCTATTTTAATTCGCAGTAAAAAACCGTTAAATTAAGTGAGCCAAATTATAAAATAACGTATGAGTAAACGAGTTTTATTGTTGATAATCAAATGATGACAAAAATAATTACAAACATAGAAATTTAATTACAAAAATAGTGTTACCAGACAGACGATTCTGAATACCCGTAAAGTACTAATCGCTTCCATCACGCACGTGTTCGAAAATAATAAAAGTCATTATTATCTGCTTAGCTTTTTCCCCGAATTGTTCGGGGTCGGCTACCTAAGCCAGGCCAGGAGAAACGAAAATAAATAGGTAGCTTGTAAAAAATTTTTGCGAGGCCCCCTCAGGCGCGAGGCCGTCGGCGGTGGCCGACGTCGCCGACGCCTAGCGCCGCCACTGTCTGTAGTAATAGGATAGCTATTATCTTGATAAGCGGTAGCTAGTAAAAACGGCCCTGAGTGAGAAAGCACCCAACGAGAGTGTGTCCCTTTCTAACGTCTTGCCAGCCCAATTTATCATTAGTTTTGGTAGAAATGGTAGAAAATGTCATCCTTTTTAAATTGATTTACCCGCTTTGATTTGAAATATTGTAAATTTGCTTATTAAAGTGTACTTTTTTTAAATGGTGAACTCGTGTTGTGTAACAGGGTGCTACAATGAATCTTATCCCTGTAGCCCTTTTTCTTTTCACGGGTAAGTAAAACTTACAATCATATTCATAAGATGAACCATGAATTTTGGAAGTAGATGAGTTTTTAAGCTATTGTATAACTTTTATCGCGGGCTTTGAACGCGGGGACCGAATCAACAAATTCTGTAACGAAAAAAACCTTGCTAGAGTGCATATACCAATAGAACACAATTTTCGCCTTTCTAAGATCAATCTAAACGGTGCAGTGTGTTAAACTTTTGCCACGGGACTAACGTTCGACGCATCACCGCGGTCGTCGGTTCAAATCCCGCACTCGTATTTTTTATTTTTAGTTATTATTTTTTTTATATATTTGTTTTAGACACCAGCACCTGTTCTTATTTTTATTTGTCTCCCTTTTATTTAGACTTTATAATTATAATTAAAATTTTTGGACTATAGATGGTAAACTATGGAGCTTGTGGAAGTTTTTTGGCGTCGGGCAATGCCGTTGTTTGCTGTGCTTGCCCAGTAAAATATAATAAGGCCTGCCTCGCCATCCCGGAAAAGTCGAGTGTCAGCAAGGACTGGATATGCCCGAACACGAACACGAGTACGCCTGTAAATGGTATCAGCGAATCTTCCGAGCCCGAAAAACCGGTTGCTGTACGGGAACCTGTCGACCTGGCCAGTGGCTCTCCAAAGGAAGATGAGGTCCAGGGTAAGGCCAAGGAGAACGCCGCCAGAAAGAATCACACTATTGATATAAAAAGTATGCTGGCCGACTGCATGAAGGAGACGAGGGAATTCCGCTCAGAGATGGCGGCCTTCCGCACTTCTTTTACCGCTCGACTTGACTCCTTCGAGTAGAAAGTTGCAGTGTTGGAGCAGCGTCAAGTGGATCCTGATGCAACTGGTAGGATGGACTTGGAGTGCACCATATCCTAGCTGCGCGCCCAGGTTAACAACCGCGATCAGGAGGCGTTGATGTCCGAGCTGGAGATTGGTGGGTTGCCCCAATAGAGGGGCGTCAGCGTGGAGCAGAGCGTCACCATGCTGGCGGTGCGGCTGGGAGTGACTCTCGACAGGTTTGGTGTTCGCGGAGCTTGTGGGCGCGACGTCCGCCGAGGTGCGGGGCCGGCCGTGTCGTGTGGTGGTGCGCCTGGCGTGCCGCCAGCTGCGCGACAACCTCCGGGTGCCGGACCGTGCGCTGCAGGGTCACTGTTGCGAAGGGTCATGGATTCGGAGGACGGCGCCCCGGACACCGCTGATGAGGGTGGCCCGCCGGCCACCGCCGTGGGGGACGGCGCTCGGGTCTACATTAACGAGCGCCTCGCGCGCTAACCGCCAGCTTATATAACTCCAAGCAGGCCCTGCCAGAATATCAGCGCTGGCGCGACACAATGTCGTATCACGTAACGCTGAGGCAGGGTCCTGGTTAGCCCTGACTGTATGAGTTCCTTTTAACATGTTGTATTTTTTAAGGGTTTATAAAAATTATTAAGCTATTTTCTTTCTTTTAAGACCCCCCACTCCGACCGGCACAGCGGTGCGGCGTTGAAAGCCGTGCATCGTCTAACGTCATTTCATTTCGACAGACTTCGGCACTGTGTTTGTGTGCGTGCGACTAGACGTATACGTGTAGACTAGCTGCTGACTGCTCATAACTGATTCTATCTCTTTTAGACATAATGCTAGGGTGAGACTGCGTGCTTTTTGGCCGCATCCACGCACGAGTGAGTTCGAGCCCGCGACTAGTTGAACCTTAACGTGCTTGTATATGGTACGACTGTGCGATTATAAAAATAATATGTAAGATTATAAAAATATTTTAAATAATATTAACTTTTCATTTATTCAATAAAATAAAAAAAATTGTTTTCTTATCGGTCACCACGCTCAAAAAGTCTTACATGAATTAATATCAAAGAAAAAACTTGAATTAATATCAAAGAAAAAAACTGCATAAATAAATAATTATAATTGCATAAATTGATAAAAATGCTATGCAATAGCTTTACCGCGGCAGTCCCCGAGTGCCACACGTATTTTTTTTTATAGGTAGTAGACGCCGCACACGCACGATTTAGCCTAAACGTTTACGTGGTTTGGTCAGAAAGGACGGGCGCGACGGCACTAAAAAATATACTCCTTTTCGAAAAAGTCATTTTTTTTTACCAGGCGTGCTGAGTTTAATTGTCAACAGCAACAGCAGGATAGTTCGCTGTTCAATAATGTGTAGGTTATTGCGGAAAATAATTCGTTACATTTTTATAACGACTATCGCTACTCACTTGTAGTAGAGTACATAATCTCCCCTACTCTGTTCTTATACCTTTATGATAGCTAGTGGTTTAGGGTACGGCCACAATGCACGCTGGTTCAGATTCAGATTCAGAAAACAGGCTCGCGAGATGTTAGCTTGAGGAAAGCAGGTGATGACCGCAGTGGAGGTAGATAATACAAGACGCGGACGCGAGTATTGATGCCAGATTGGGGGGATTCCCCCCAAATTTGGGGGGTTTTTAAAGCGATGGGGGGATTAATAGGGGGAGAAATTTCAAACATGTTTTATAATAATTGATTATTTAAATGTATATAAATATAAGATTGACTTTATTACATCATTAAAGAAACTTCTCAATGTTGAAAAGTTCTTTTTTTGAATTATATTGGATATTTTATAAGAGTATAATACAAAACCAATCCTAACAATTTAAAGCTAATATTATTTTTTTAAAACGGGAATAATTTCGTGGAATGATTGGGTATCTAAAAAAGATCTGTAGGTATGTGTGCTTGTTGTTTAATTTATGTTTACATGTTATGCTATACTTTCTGTGACAATCATAACGATGCAATACGCGTTTTAGAATATAATATAATAAATTGTATTAAAAATGAGACTACAAGAAAAAAGCATTTCTTTGCCTTCAGCACCCATTCATTTCTCCAGCGAAGTTTTGCCAGCACCTATCAACGACATTCCTATTTGAATGTCGAATATCTTGTATTTTTTATCCCATACAGCAGGGTTAAGAAAAACTTCATTATGTTAATTGTAATATATAAATTAAGAAACAAGAGTAGATCAGAAACAAGAAGCAAGGCACTAAATGTTTGTTTATTACACAACCAAGAAAAAGGTTAAATATACAACTATAACCTGCAGTTAGGTTAGCAATTTTAGAAGCTTTACTTCTAAAAATATAGTAGCTGGCAAAAAAATATAGTAAGTATGTGGTTATAATAAATAAATAAATATTTCCAGCACTCATACCAATTAGCCTAGCCCTAAAGTAAGGCTTGTATTATGGGATGCTAGGGTAACGGATAGAATACATATACTGTACATATATAAGTATATTTATATAGAAATTCATATCAAACATCCATGAATGAAGTACAAATGCTCGTATTCATCACACAAACATCTGCCCCCACCGGGATTCGAACCCGGGACCTGTCGAGTCGACGACACCATGAAACCCGGCGTAAAAACCACTCGGCCACGGAGGTCGTCAAATAATATTTACTTTATTTTTGAAATAAATATATTTTTGCTGCTCTTTGCCTTACTAATATCATAATTACAATCTATACTTATAATAAATCTGTAGAGAGGTCAATTCTGTACATGAAATATATTTTCAAAATAACTATCAGGGGGTGATTAGTGATCGATACTGATGCCAAAAATGCAATCAGTAAAATTTTTGTCTGTCTGTCTGTCTGTCTGTCTGTCTGTGTGTATGTTCCTTATAGAAACAAAAACTACTCGACGGATTTTAACAAAACTTGGTACAATTATTCTTCATACTCCTGGGCAGGTTATAGTATACTTTTCATCACGCTACAATCAATAGGAGCAGAGTAGTGAAGGGAAATGCTGGGAAAACGGGAGAAGTTACTCCATTTTTTAAGCTTCCGTCGCGTGTGGAGCCTTAATAGTTAAAGTTACATAGAAATCATGTATGACGGAAATATTTTACATAAAATTGTCTAAAAAAATATCTCGCAACAGCATATGTCTATCTTTTATGGTTGACTCACAATAACACGTGTAACTCCTGATAGCTTAGCAGTTCGGAGCATTCTGATTATATTTGTTTACTCTTACGTTTATAATACTCTCACTCATCCCTAATTTAAAAAAGTTAACATTATTACCTATTCAATAAAAAAAGAATCATAGAAATCGGTATATAAACACCAAACTTATACATGAAATAAGCCATCGCGCCGTCGCACGTGAATACTGAATCATGCTATAAGGATTATTTTTGTGTAACGGTTGGAAACACTGATAATTTTAGAGGTTTTTAATGTAAGGTCGTAAATAAACACAGTTTTTTCCGCTTACATTGCAAACGCTGGCTGAACCCTACGAGATCGATCAAAATAATGTACTACAGTATTGTATACCTTAAAAATGTCTACAAAAAGTTCGCCATGGTATCTGTCTATCTCTTAGGGAAAACCCACAATAACCATTTTATATCCTATACTTTTTACGAGACATAATAGATTATTTACGAAGCGATTTTCAGCAATATAACATTCTTCCTTATCCTATTAAGTACCTTAAATACATTGTGCATTTAATATAGACCAATTTGGCTATTTAACGCATGTAATTTAAAGGAATATTTTCGAAGATATTACAGATTTAAAATGCAGGGACATAGCGGTTCCGACGCTACCGGGCGAGGCGCCTGGTGGCGCGTGCCTATTGTAAATATTGTAATTAGGTATTAGAAGAATGTCATTGTGTATAATACAAGCCTGAGAACAAAAACTATAGTCTACACTACAGCTCTACACCGAAGCGAAGCGCGGGCGGGCCACTAGTCTCTAATAATTTTGAAGAAAGCTTTTACTGTCAAAAATGTGCTGTAAGCAAAATATAGTACTTTCGCCTACAATATATTTTTTTAGAAATATAGGATACTATATTTTATAGTAGGGTTGGCAACCCTACCTACAGTCCGAGCGGCGCTGGTGAATCCAGAATCTGAAACAAGAATGACCTGTAAAGTGGTTGGAGAAAAATGTCAGAAGTTAAATCTATCGATGAATGACCTCGTTACGTTTTTGTTGCGCATCCTGTTCGAGCCAAAATTACTCTTAAATCCGAGAGCTTAGGTGCAAAAGAATTAAATTGAAACTACAGTGTATTTTGTTAGACCATACATTTCTTTATTAGTTATGTGATGTTTTTTGCCTATAAGTAGCTCCAAACATATTTACAAGCGTGATGCAACGAACTACAGCGCCATCTATTTTGATACATATGAACTAAAATTTTAAATGCACAAATGGCGTATACATAATCGCCCACCAAGGACAAACTGAGATTTGTCCTTCTTCTTAGCCGGTACGCTCTTGACAGAGCGGTGCGGTCGTGATCGCTGTGAACTTGTAGTATTATTGGAGGGGGCAGATGTGATGCGCTTCACTATGTTTCGCCATTGCTCTCTGCTAGAGGTCATCCTGCTGCACTCGTTTAGTGAACCTCCAACGGATGACTCTGTTATCGCCCACCATGACTTAAGGTAACAAAACAAATAAAAACACTAAGATGTACAATAACTTAAAATAATATATTTATGCACATCTGAAATTGACTATTGTAAAAAGTTTAATGTAAAATATTTCGTCGATTAGTTATAATAAATGTATATAAAATGAATAAATATATATTTAAATATGTATATTATTTTCATTAATTTGTTAATTTACCCTTTCATACAGTATCAATCTTTTTTAAGTTAAATAAACTCTTTTTGCGTCTGGTTAGACTATCGAACTTAAGGAGTAAACTCCAGTCGTGCGTCGGAGCCGACACACACACAATTTTTTTATTGTTGAAAAATTATTAAACTTTCGTTTCATTATAGTTTTTTTTTAAATAATCAAAGTTAATTCAAACTGTGTTAAATATAAATATGGATGAAGGTACAAACACTGACTTTTTTTTTCAACACTGAACTTAGCGTACTCTGCTGGTGCATTTGAAAACTAATTCACGTTCCAATTAAGCATCAGCATAATTCGGCATTGTGCGCCATAGAGTACATTTGTGCGCCACTGAGTCGCATTATGCTCTGTAATTGGAAAACCACCTTTGCGTGCACTGTGGTCGTACCCGTTTAGACTGTGCCCATAGAGAAAAGAAATACACTGGAAAAAGGTGTCAAACAAACAAAACAAAATCGGTTTTTTGGCGGGATTTCATCGAGTGCGGTTGGCGTCTTATTTTAATTATTCTTAAATTCGTTCAAAGTGGATATTGTGAAATAAAATTGGTGTGGTTTTGTGTAACAACCGTCTGCGTAACTGAAGAATTAGTGGAATCGTTAAAATATACGCTATTCCGGTCAAATGGACGTGAGAATTTTATTGTAGTGTTGACTACCTCACAGAAGCTTATCGAAAAAGCCAACTCGATACATTTCGTGCCAAACACTCCAAGAAACATTAGAATGCGTCACACCGACATTCTAATGTAAAAAAAAAAGAAGATTAATTTAATTAAAGACTAGGCTGTATGAGCATTGTTCCCTTTGCCTTCCCTAAAACGGGAGAACTTCAAAAAAAAAAAACAAAATCGTTTTTATTAATCTGTGAGATCGTGTTTGTTGTGGTTATTTTATTTCATGTGTGGTTATTTATTTATTTCACTAAATTTATTGCTAAGATTTATTCCATCCAGTTTTTCAGTCTGGGCTCTGGGAAAGTATCCCTTTCATCATATTCTATTTATTCTACTATTATGCTTAATTCAGGCACTAGAACGTAAGTTATTTTATGATGTAACGAACTTAAATGAAATAAGAAGGGCCTATTGCTTAATTTGTTATTGAGAATCGTAGTATTTATTTGATTGATAAGATTTATTCTATCCAGTTTTTCAGTCTGGGCTCTGGGAAAGTATCCCTTTCATCACATTCTATTCTACTATTATGCTTAATTCAGGCGCTAGAACCTAAGTTATTATAAGGTGTAATTAACATAAATGAAATAAGAAGGGCCTATTGCTTAATTTATTATTGAGAATCGTAGTATTTATTTGATTGCTGAAGTAAGGTACTTTAATTTGTGTGCATAATTTTTATTGCATTTTATATTTTATTGTACATACATTTACAGACATAGAGAATGGCGTAAAGTTGCCAAGAGAGAAAGAAGACGGAGGTTAAGAACTGAAGAAGCCAGAGCTAGAGGTAATCATAAATTTAACCTTATTTTGAATTCTTATTAAAACAAAGTTAAAATTACTGTCTCAATTCAAAAATTTTTTTTTATCTATTCTGTCTTTTCTCTAAGCTTTGTTATATGTTTTAAAATGGAGCTTTACATGAAAAAACATATAAACAAATCTTTGTGCTTTAGCGAAATTATCTAAACTGCAGTTACTTAAATTGCATTTAAAATTCTGTGCTATTCAAAGCATTTACCTAAACGTGGATATTGCTCTTCGTATATGTGTGTGTACTCCCGCCAGTAACTGTTCTGGAGAACAATCGTTTTCTTGTTTACAATGAGTAAAAAAGTATTAACGACAGAAATGACGGACCAAAGGTCTTCGAAACGAAACGATCTTCCGTTGCTTTACATAGAAGCTGATTTTTTAAGGAAATTGGATTGCGAAGTTTTTGATGCACTAAAGTACAGGCGAGTTTTGTAACACATTGTATAACACTTATTATATCTTATCTTGTACTCTTAACCTGTAGTTAAATAAATAAAACCTATAACCGTTTAAATGTTTTATTTGGCTAAACTGTACTGCCAGGGTCCAAGCGGTGATACTTCACACTAGGTTAGCTTGGTGTAGTGACCACATCGCGCGAGCATGCCGCAGCAGCGGCCGACAAAAAAGAAATCAAGTATCACCTCTTGGGCCCTGGAAGTACAGTTTTACCTTTAATTTAAATGTGCAATTATTCCTGAAACTGCGTAATATTAGAAATAAGCAGCTATCATTATTTCTTCTAGTAAAGTTATAGTTACTTTTACCCACACTACCTACCCGCACTTGCAATAAAAAGCAGCTCTGCACAAATTAATTGTGTTTAGTTATATATTTAAATATTTAACTCTCAATTAAGTGTTAAAAGTTGATAATACTTGTGTAAAAGTTATCATAACCAAGTATGCCAAGTCGGCAGAGTATGTTAGAGCAAATAACTTAAGTACCTTATTCTTGCAAAATAAAACTTATTTTTTCCTAATTATTTAAATCTATTTAGATTAAAGTTGGTAAAGTTATTTCATTAGTCATAGTAGTCTATGGTGGATGCTGAAAGGGGCGGTTGATGGTTAGGGGCCTAGAGTGGCCAAGACTACAAATCCGCCACTGGCTATGTGTTTTAGTATTTATTTCGAATTCATGGGATAAGTACTAATAAATACAACACAATGCAAATGTAACATTTAAATAAGTCTAAAAAATAGTTTTATTCCCCTTTGTATTAAAGGATATTCAAGTAACTAATAAAAAACAGGTTTAAATTACCAATGACAGCTTATAATTTTACATTCTATAGACTCTTCCACAAAAATGACATCAGAAGAATATCAAAACTGGCTTAAAGAACAAGAAGAACTGGAGGCATTTGAATATGAACAAATTGAAAGAATAAATGTACTTGAAAACAAAAAGTGGATGGAAGCTGAAAAAATTGCTATAGAACATTGGAACATGTTGCAGGAGGGAAAAAGGCTTCAACTTCAAGAATATCTTCAACAAGAGGCAAAACTAAAAATGGTCACTAATAAGCATTGTTATTGCTCTGCAATTAATATCATTGTCATAAAACTTTAAAAATGTTCATTATTGTCTGTTGTAGGAGTGGGAATTGGAACAAAAAAGAAGAAAAGAAGTAGAAGAAAAACTAAAAAAGATTGAAGAGGAGAAAAAAATACAGCAGCAGCTATTCATGTCAAAATTGGAGCAGTTTTTGTCTGGTGATTTAACAGATCCGCCTCCAGAACTTCTAGTTTCACATGAAACAAAACCTCTAATGGAAGTTTGCCCATTTTTCAACAAAACTGCTTGTTGCCGTTTTGGTGACCAGTGTTCTAGAAATCATCGGTACCCTGGTATTAGTAAGGTATGTATACAGTGTTAAACCTAGTGAGCATGGACATACCCAGCTTCTGGCTTGGGGGGGGGGGGGGGGGGGGAGCCAGATTTTTTAGGTCGGATCGTCCGCGGCTGTTTTGTCATACACAGTCAGCGTTGCCAGTATTTTTTTGCCATGTTGGGATTTAGGAACTTTTTGAGTGAAGAGAGCGGGATTCTTTCGTCGAAAGCGGGACATCTATATTTATAAAACTTAAAGGTGACTGACTGACTGACAAAGTGATCTATCAACGCACAGCCCAAACCACTGGACGGATCGGGCTGAAATCCCTATCGTTAAATAGTTGAGTCTTTGTTTGAGAGTTCGCGAACCCGGCGATCTTGAACAATCTACAAATTGTTTGAAATCGCATCACATCAGGACCTCCAACTCCCCACCATTTAAACTCACCTAAAGGAGTGCTCGGTACAATTTTGTAAATCTGCTGAAGAGCACTATAACCCCCTCATCCTATCGGCGTCTGCGTATGCCCCTCCCCCACCCCACCCCAACAGGCCCCGCAGGCCAAGAAACGTCCTAACGAACCCCCCTAATAAACTCTCACGCGACTTCGAGGCCCTTTTGGCCTCCCAGGAACCAAATAGCATTACAACGCGCCTGAGAGCCCCCGCCCCCCCGATCATGAGAGACCTTCAGTCGCTCAGTCAAACCGGGTGCACATCAGAGTGCATCCGTCGTCTAAGCACACTATGCAGTAGTATTTACTAAGGCAGCGCTGCATCATCCCCTTCTCAGGGGTTGAAAAGTCAACATGCCGCTGAGCTCCGTGATAAAATGCAAAATAAATACTTATAGTATGTAAAATGTCGTTTTTTTCGACAGGTATCTAATCAATGTTTTTTAATTTAACGCATTTGAAACAAAATTTGTTTTAATACTTACTATAAACTGCTGCTGCGTACCTGCTAAACTGCTAAGGCGCTTCGCAGACAACGGGGCGGGGCGGGCTTTTTGTCCGCGAAGCAATAAAAACCGCGTCTGCCCGTCGATGTCTGCGGCTGCCCTCGCCGCGTACACAAAGCACACGACGGGCAGAGACAGTCAGTTCAGGACGTTCGTTCTAGTGTATAGTCCATCACTAAAAACCGCGTGGCGCGGACTGAGCTACCCGCTCCGCCCCACCGTCTGCAGAGCGCCTAACAGCGCATTCAGAATTGCGCGTAGAATCAGAGAAATAAGGTCTTTATTTTTCCGCATATAGCAATAAGTCGTGAAATTTTACGAGCTTACATTTCGGACTGTCATAACTCTTGGACGCATGCGTTTTCATTAAAACCTTATACAGTGTGCTTTAAAGGTAATTTTCAATGTTTAAATAATGCCTTATATTGTTTAGACTACGCGATCATCTTACGGAGCTCCGTGGATCGCCCAATGTACCTTTTGGACAGGTTTCGGCCATGATTTTATTCGTGTTGGTGTATCTAGGGTATTTAATATCGTTGGTTGTAATAGCGACGTGTAGCCGCGGCGCGAGAGCGTGCCCGACTGAATGCAAGTCGGGTAATTACCTGACTTTCGTATTGCTAAACTAGAAGCGTGTATGGCGTATCTATAACTATATTGCATCAGAGCTTCAAAACAATAACATGTGAAATAAAATAAATGCTAGTCACTGGCAACCTCAGCTCGCAGCTCCTAACCAACGATATTAAATACCCTTGATACAACAATATGAACAAAATCGTTCATCGTCCGAGACCTGTCCAAAAGGTACATTGGACGATCCACGGAGCGGCGGCGCTCCGTAAGATGATCGGTTAGTCAAAAACAATATAAGGCATTATTTAAACTAAACTTAATTAGACGAGTTCATACATGTTCTGCGAGATTTCCAGGGGGGGGGGGGGGCAGGTGCAGGATCAACAGATGATGTAAAGTTTTGTTCACTGGTGGTCAATGAATGAATATAATAATTTCAGTATTTACCTGTCCTTCTGTTATGTAATGTTTTCAATTAAAATAAGTCATTACGTAATTTTATTTAAAAATGTTCCAGGTTTTATTGGCAACAAATTTTTATGTTCACTTTGGTTTGAGTAATGCCAATTTCAGTGAATATGATACAGACGTAATGTTGGAATATGAAGACAGTGATACTCAAAAGGAATTTGTAGAATTTTTCAATGATGTTGTTCCAGAATTTGAAAAATTTGGTAGAATCATTCAATTTAAGGTGAGCTTAAATTCATCAATAGAATATTAAAAGAACTAAGTCTGAAATGTATCCTTTTAAATTTGGTCTACATGATAAAGTACCATATGGTAGTATTGATGGAGGTTTCTTATAATGAATGAGTCCTCTACTCAAAAAACAATTTCAGATGACAGTTTCCTGATAAGATTCATATAGTGACAGTAAAGACAGGTTTGTACTAACTTTTTTGGTATGATTCATAGTTTTATAGTTACATAACAATTTTGCTGTTCTCGGCATATCACCATGTTTTTAAGTTGAACAACAATAGAGATTTTTATATAATTTTTTTACTTAAAAACGTGGTATCAAATTGTATGCTCGTATTGAGAAATTTCGTTTGCTTCACAATAGGCTAGTTGACTCATGTCGAATTGTATTAAATAAATGTTTATTTCTTAAAGTATTAGGTCTAAGGAACCTAAATATATAGATTAAAGCTAAGATAAAAGCAGAAGATTGCTGTAGAAATTTAATTTTAAATAATATTTTTTAGTCTATACTTTTTAAACACTAAAAACGCTGTTCGCCACATCCGCCATGATTGTGACGTCTCTTATGGTAAACAACTAAATGTTATTCGCGTGTTACTGTGGGTGAATTCTTTCGTCTGACTAAATTTATCTTAAAACACTTTTAACTTTAGAAAAGTTTACCTTTACTGTTTTTTTGAAAAAACTAATTATGGATGCCGGCTTTGTGAAAGCAGAAAGCACAAATCTGCCAAGAATTGACGCATTGATGGTTGGTGAATTTATTGCACTAAACCCCGATTTCTGCTCTGCGGAGCAGAGAAACGACAAGGCATCTATGTAAGTACAGTGCATTTAGTATTACAATGTAGTAATAAACATAAAACTGATACAACATATGAATAAGTGTAATATAGTTGCGTAGGTTAATTTCTTTCGGCACTTTAATCCACAACTTTCCTGGAGTCTTCAAGGATGTGTTTTTATATTCTCGTACAATACAATAATTACTTTATTTTTCGTGATATTTATTAGAAATCATGTTTTTTTAAAAATAAAGTCAGTTCAGTTATTTTCTACGTGCTTACGAGTTTTTGTTTACTGTAGTTAACATCATAGCATAGATAATCAATAGACTAAAATGGCCAACAGCGTTTTTGTATGTCCATGAAAAATCTATTTTAAAATTAAAGATTTGTAGCTTTTTAGGTCTCAAAAAAATACAATACATTTTTTTTCGGTCTAATAGAACATTTATTAACCATTTAAAACCTTTTTCCGAAAAGGGTCAACTAGCCTATTAAAAATGTCATTAGGACCTAAGTATCTTGTTCCTTAGTTATAGTAAATATTGTGGTACTTTTCTGAATTCTAATACCTTTGGAACACTTCCTTGTCAGTGCTGTAATGGATTCACTGCCCCTTTCTTCGTGTTTCCACAGAAAGACAGCTGGCAATCATATAGGAATTGACCAATGGCATTGCTAAATATACATGTTATATGTATTTTGAACTATGCCATTGGTTATTTTCTTTAAGACTGTTCAGCTACGCTTCTGTGGAAACACAGCCTAAGGGATATTTGATGTTATCTGCACCCACTCTTTCTATGCTATTGATGTCGAACAATGCAACATACGCGGACTCCACGTAAACCTCATAGCTGGCTTCCAACCACATTGAGATAGCACAGCCAGCATTGTTTGTTAGAGGAAAACAAATATATCACACCGCTGACAGACTACCGGAAATACAAGCAGCGCCACAATTTTGGTCGATTCACACCGGAATGGCAGCGGTTGGCAGCACTTTACTGGACTTTTAAGTATGTAGATAAAGTTTAAAATTATTTCACACTGCTTTCAGTAATAAAGTGCGCGCCGAGTCGCTGCCATTCCAGTGTGAAATTGACCCTTAGGGAAAAACAAAAAAGGTAAAAGTTTTGAACGTCAGCACAATAAGGGGCTGTCCATTAATCACGTGAGGTTCGAAAGGGGGGGAGGGTCCTTAAAAAAAGACGAAATATCACAAGGGGGGAGGGGGGATGTCTCACTTCTTGACACTTGTTTGTTATATGCTACAGGTATGTAATAATTATGAGAAACATCTCCGAGGGAATACTTATGTGGAGTATGCTGAAGTTCGTTCTGCTGTAGCAGCCTATCAATCTTTGCACTCAAGATGGTATGGTGGAAGGCAACTTTCTCTACAATTCTGCCTCATTGATTCTTGGAAAAATGCTGTATGTGGTAAGTAAAGTCTGGTCCAATTGCATATTTTAAAAATTTGTAGATAATAATAATCTGTAAAAAAGTTGTCATTATTTTAGGAATTCTGTTTTATATACCAGTCGGTCACATGATCTTTATTACGATGTGCAAACTGTATATGTTTGTTGTCGCTGTTGGGCCAGCTCAAAAACAAAACTATAAGTTGCGCTCGGCTAATTCACTAGGCTGAGTCAAGTCGCGCGAGTGTATGTTAGAAATCAAATATGCCGAAATGTTATGTAATTTGCTGTAAAACATATCTGGAATATTAAACTTACAAAAGGATGGTGTTAAAGGAGATTGGTCAAATTGGCCTAAATGCAAATAAAATATTGACATATACAGTAATTCTTGGCGTAATTTATACTTTATTTTACAGTCATTAGATTTTAACGGCCACCTTTAAATAATATATTAATTTTAAAAAAGGACTTCTATTTTTACCGGTTTGGAAAACATACGAATCATTTTTATTGGCTATGGGTGTAGTAACATTCACAAAGACTGATCGAGGTTGTTTATATAACATCAAAACAAATCTATTTTGTAAAGATTGATAAAATATTTCGATGATATTTTAATTCAAAATGTAGATGATATGTAATATTAAACGCAACATAAAAGTACTTAAGTTGTTTTATTTCATTAATTTACCATATCAGAATATTTAAGCTACGTCAGGAATATACATATTTCACACATAGATCAGAACTATCATGAACCTACGCAATATATTATTACATTAGAATTACCTTTTACCATTATAAACCTAATTATTATTAAGAAAATATCCTATTGGTTTTTATAAAATTATGATAACAGTTCCATGTTTCTCATAACATAGGTAAGCAGGTACCAGTTCCTTGACATGCATTTTGTTAGTGTAATTAGTGTTAGACACTTGTCAAATAAAACAAGATTGCTTCTGAAAGTCGCAATGGCATAATCATGATTTTAAAACTTACTCTTGTGCATTAATTTTAAAAACAGGCAATTATCTGTTATTTTACATGCTCTATATACCTGAATCTAATACATAATATCGGTACTTGGCTTGATTGCCCTATTTTCCTATATAAGTTATTTGGTTTTTATTATTCTAATACCTATGTGCCTATTTGCAAACATAACCTCAAAATCATTCAGTGTATATGGTTTATAGAAGTTCTCAGGAGTGGCCGTCGATAATATTAGTTTCTACGATAATTTATATATAATTTCGAATCTAGGAAACAATTTTTCATGGTTATTGGTTTTTAGGCCAAACATGTATGGAAGCTGAGCAATCTCCTTTCACATATAAGTATAGAATTATTAAATTCATGTTATTTTGTTAAAATTCAATCGTCGGACTTGGTTTAAAAAAACTGTCGACTCACCAACACCAATTTCAGATTTGTCAATAAAAATCTTAAGTTTTATCTATGCCCGATTTAGCGCTGTCATTTTTTATGTATGAATGTCGTAATAACAAATTCGTTTTTGCGAAAGTATGTTGGACTGCATTTGTGTGCATATTCCTCCCCCCGCAAAAAGCGGCAGAATCATTTCAGTAGTATTAATTATGTCATTATGGCTACTCCTCTCCTGACCGCGTCGGCGGCGTTGCTCAATGCTATCTATTAAAAAAAGGTATCTCATATCACACTTTCTCTCACTCATCACCCTCACTCCATAAATCCAACTTACTAACATAATATTTTAAATGTCGTTGATAAATAAATAATAATATTCAACGTTTTTAGGACTTGCATCGAGAAGGCGCTGTCCAAAAGGGCGAGCATGTAATTTTTTGCATGTATTCAAGAATCCACGCTACTTTTATGACGACTACAAATTTGAAAACAACAGGTATAGTTATATTTTTGGTTTTAAGCATTTAACTGCTAGATTTTTTAATCTAAGGAAAGTTTTACTAGAAAAAAATCCATGCGGGTCAAAGAGTTGGCGCTGCCTTGCAGCCTAAGAAATACTAGAGAAAATTCGACACGGACTATTAGGGCCATGGTAGCATAATGGTCAGTGTATCCGCCCGGATAGCGGAGGGTGCGGGTTCGAGACCCGTCTACTGTCCGGTTCGCGTGGAACAACAGGTATATTTGCTTTGTGAAATGTGGAATTTGGCGCTATAGTAACTGTTATTCAGCTCAAAAATACCTATCCAACGATGTTACACACAAAGCTATTGGAAGGTGGGAACAGATTTCATACAAACCCTGGCATCATCCTTTCGAAGAACTTTTAAAACATATTAATAGTCTTCTTGTTATAAGTAGGTCCTAATTGGAATCATGCATTCACTAAGAAAGTGAACGCTTAAAAATGGCAAAACAGACAAGTTTTATAAGAAAGAAAACTTATCTATTTTGCCATTTTTAAGCGAATTGTGGGGCAAGTGGGTCAGGATTCAGGAATCAATTGGTTGAATAGTACCTACCTTGCACGTTCCAATGAAGAATCCGCAATAAGAGTGATTTTGTGGTTATGCGGTTATTATAATTTATTATTTCTCTTTAGAAAAAACGACAATTCATCACGCTCTTGGAGGTGGTCGGAATCTCCGGAAAAAGTTATCAGATATTCAAAAGAACGCTCAAACACTTCTGAGCGCAACCGTCGAAGTAAAATAAAAACATCCACACATGAGCGACGAAAATCATCAAGGTCTAAGCGAAGATAAAAATCGCCAGACAACAATAATTACAGACGTTAGTTATTAACTTTCATAAAGTTTTGGTTTCGTTACACATGAATAAATACATTACGGTTTTTGTACGAAAAAATATTGTTTTATTTTATTCGTTTTTAAAGATGGTAATCGCGTTCGGTCTGCGATTGTGAAATATAATCGATTTTTGAAATAGCTATCAAGGTTAAGAGAAAAAATCACGTTGAAAGGAGAAAGTGACCGATGATATATCAACGAGGTCGTAGTTTGAGTCCTTTTAACATATGACCCTAGATACCGAAACGAAAGAAAATATCTTTTACATAGGTTTCAGATCCATTCGTGGAAAACAAAGGAGAATAAGGAGTTCTATAGAGTGAGTAGAGCAGAGGCAAGGGGTAGAGTAATAAGTTTAAAATTATTTTTAATTTCACAATCCACACCATATTTTAAATACTATGAAACGGGAGCACGAAGCGGACGTGCACTTCGCGTGCTGTTTCATGTTATTTCATAGAGCAGCGCTCCGTCTCGCAGCGCCGCTAGTACAATTTTGATTGCGCTGCAGGGGGAGCCCGCCCCGCGGGTGACGGGGCACATTCGATTTGCTATCTTAAGTGCTCTTGTCTGGGACATCTTCTGGCTAGGAAGTATTATCCACAAAAATAATGCATTATCGAGTCTTCACTCGCGCGCTCGAAATTGTGTCAGAGCGGCAGGGACCGTCAAGTGTTACCAGAAAGACATTTCGCCTTCCCCCCAAAACTTACCCGAAATCTCCACAAAGTACAGGTTTTTGAAGAAAAAACCCCCCAACATGCAAAATATTTATTAAAAATACAATACTTACCTCATAGTAAGTATGTATTTTTGCAACAGTATCCATTACTGGAGCTCTATTTTTGAATCACTCCCCTTGCGTCGAACGCTCGAATGGTGGAGGTGAATGATAGAATAATTGTCATATTTGCACCAGATGTCACGTGTCAAACTTGATTCACATTTGCAGTTTTTAGGTGTATTCCGTTGTTTACTATTTTTTGAAATTATGACCTTTTCTTGAGACTAAGACTACCCTTGCATTCTTAACTCCGACCACTCCCGATCAAGTATCCCGCGCTTACAATTACTTTCTTTTACGATAATCTATCCTTGTCATGCTTTATATGAAACGACAAAGGCACACTGATGTCAACTTTCTTCTTCTTTTATTATGGTATGACGGCTAATGCATGTCAAGTTTACAAACAGCAATCACGAATAGCTAAGTGAAGTGCCGTCGTAAAATTTTTCGTTCCGTTTTCAATGCGGTAATTACCGGTTGTTATTATTTTTGCGTGATACTCGTACCTTACCGAGCAGATCCGTCCCAAAGGTGACAACAGTACTCCAAGCAGGAGCGAACTTGGGCTCGGTAAAGGTTAAGGAGCTGCTCAGATGTAAAATATCGCCTGACCTTAGAAAGTATTCCAAGTTTTCTGGCAGCGGTTTTAGCAATGGACTCGATGTAGCGACTGAAATTGAGGCTGGATGAGATGTCCATACCCAAGAGCTCGAGATGGTCTTTAACCGGCACGGAGACATTTCGGAAAGTCGGAGTCAGATGGAATGGACTCCGTTTCGTCGAGAAGAGACAGGCCTGTGTTTTAGAGGGATTGAATTCAACCAAGTTAGCTTCATCCCAGAGGGAAGCAGCTTCCAGGGTTGCATTCACTCCCTCCACCATCGCAACCCTTAATGATCGGACATCTGCATCAGACTTCACATCAGGCAGATATCTCTCCGAAACTGTGCTGTCGTCTGCATACCCAAAGATACCGGGAGTTAGGAGCAGATCATTGATGTGCAGCAAGAATAGAGTTGCGGAGAGGACAGATCCCTGGGGGACACCGGCATTAATACCAAGCAGATCCGACGATGTGCCATTAATGACCACTCGTATCGATCTGCCCCTCAGAAAATCTGCAATCCAGTTGCAAAGCCCGACAGCGATTCCATATGAAGGAAGCTTGCCAATGAGACTTGCATGCCAGACCCTGTCAAAAGCTTTAGAAATATCAAGAGAAACGGCGAGAGCTTCACCGCGCTTCTCTATGGCTTCACTCCATAAGTGGGTAGCATACACAAGAAGATCCCCAGTAGATCGCCCACGGCGGAAACCGAATTGGAAGTCACTGAGGAGATCGTTATATCCGAGGTAAGGGAGGAGACGGTTGTTCAATACACGCTCCATAATCTTACAGATTATGGAGGTGATTGCAATAGGTCGATAGTTGGCAGGGTCGGCACGACTACCCTTTTTGGGTACTGGTTGGACATTGGCAGGCTTCCAGGTTTTCGGAATTTGGCCAATCTCAAGGGATAAGCGATATAGGAGAGTCAGAATAGGAGACAACTCACGGGCACAATTCCGCAGGACAATAGCTGGCATGCCATCGGGCCCACTGGCTTTCACGTCTAGAGTACTTAGCGTTTTGAGTACCTCTTTCTGATGGATGCGAACTTCCAACATGGCAGAAGAACACTGAGGAAGCTTAGGTGGATTTACGCCAGCAGCATCTAGTTGTGAGTTGTTCGCAAATATAGAGGCAAACAAGTCAGCCTTCTCTTTGGAGGTGTGAGGCTTAATTAAAGGCGGCAGCGACGACGGGCAAAAATTGGCTAGGGACCAGAAAGCTTTGCTTCCGGATGGAAAAGAGGCTAATTTGGCTCCTATACGGTCAATGTGTGTGGGACTTGGCGGCACTGTTAAAGGCCTTCTTCAGACTTCGAACATTTGGTGATTTGCGGGCTCGAGCATCCGCCCAGGAGCGATACGCAAAATTCTTAAGCGGCGGGCAGGCGCTAAACCGGCGTGGTACGTCAGAATATGGAATAAAGTACTCCATAGCCTGACGCATCACGTCAGCAATGGCATCCGCGCAGCAAGTCGGATCGTCCGAATAAAAGCAAGTGCGACGCCAAGGATAAGATGCAAAGAAATGCTGCATCTCATCCCAGTCTGCTGAACCATATCGCCAAACACGCTTAGTTCCGATAGGTTCCGGGTCGTTTGGAGAATAGACTGATACGGACTTCACCAGACAGTGGTCAGAACTCCCTAGTGGAGACGAAATTATCACCTGATAACGATCCGGGTCTGTTGACAGCAGAAGATCCAGGCAGTTTGGTGTGTGGCCATCAATATCGGGTACACGTGTAGCGCCCTTCACGAGCTGGGAGAGACCTAGCGAAATAGCAAATGTGTGCGCCAATCTCCCGGCATGGTCGGTTTTCTGCAACGGGAACAACCACTCATGGTGGTGTGCGTTAAAGACCCCCAGAACGACTAGCTGCGCACTCTGGTACCTTTGCTGGGCTGTTTCAGTGGAGGCGCTGAGGTACTGAAAAATCCTAGTTGTCTCCATGTTCTCTGTGTGCGACCGATAAACACTGGCATAGAGTATTTGCTCTATACCTGTGTTCACCAGCACCCATACCATAGAGAAACTGGGATCCTCAAGGTTGCGGAGACGTTGGCAGCAGATGTCATCACGAGCATACACGCAGGTGCCAGCGCGCGATTTAAAATTGTGCTCCAGGATGTAACCTGGGTAATGCAAGTAAGCTGCGACAGTCGGGCATCTTATTTGAGTCTCCATGAGGAACAGCAGATGTGGTTTATCAGTCTCAAGGTGGTGATGGACACTATCGACATTTGAGTGCAATCCTCGGATGTTAGCAAGGTGCACTTTTAGTGCGAGGGAGTGCATCCGCTGTTTCGCCAGTTTCTTTCTTTTAACTTTCATATTTTTTTCATAAGAAGTGACTGAACAGGCAGGAAGGGGACAGATGAGCGAGACTCTGCTAAGCTACTGCCAAGCGATGCAGTTATGACGCCACACTGACGGGTGACTGAGCTGGAGCGGGGACGCCCTAACCCCCCCAAAGGTGTCCATCGGGCCCTCGCATCCAGTCGCCAACCAGCACGATGGCGCACCCTGGGATATTTCGCGAGTTGGCGGGGCAACCTTTCGTAGGTGGCTTTCCTACTACTTGGGCCCCCTACTACTTGCGGTCGGCCAGCGGAGAACCGTGCTTAGGGTTAGGATCCCGCTGCCCTCCTCTGATGACGGAAGAATGTTAATCTGCCGGTTTGCATGATGGGACTAGCCGTACGGATGGATTGAAAATGGGGGCAAAAAATTACTCGAGCACGTTAGATATTCATATAGGCGGTTCAGCTTGATGCCCTGGTCATGCTGATCCATAATGTGACGAATATTAGGAGGCATTTTCTTAATCTGACGGTTTAAAGAAAATTTTCATAAAGACTAGCAAGCAAATAAAAATAGGCTGAAAATCTAATCAGGGTTAGATTAGGTCAAGATTCACTCATTGTAAAAAAAAACAGTTAATTTGCTTCCGCGGTTCGTGTGAAAATTTGGCGAAAAATTTTATTCACATATTCACAGACATGTTCGATATTTAAAAAAAAGAAAAATATAATAAAATACAAATAAAAAAAAGGTGTTACATTTCAGTCTCTGGTAAGCTTTACAATAGGCTAGTTGACCCTTTTTGGAAAAAGGTTTTAAATGGTTACTAAATGTTCTATTAGACCGAAAAAAAATGTATTGTATTTTTTTGAAACCTAGAAAGCTACAAATCTTTAATTTTAAAATAGACTTCATGGACATACAAAAACGCTGTCGGCCATTTTAGTCTATAGATTATCTATGCTATGACGTGAACTGTGGTTAAAAAAAACTCGTAAACACGTAGAAAATTACTTTTAACTGAGTTTATAATAAAAAAAACATGATTTCTAATAAATACCACGAAAAATAAAGTAATAATCATTACTGTATTGTACGAGAATATAAAAACACATCCTTGAAGACTCCAGGAAAGTTGTGGATTAAAGTGCCGAAAGAAATTAACCTACGCAACTTTATTACACTTATTCATATGTTGTATCAGTTTTATGTTTATTACTACAATGGTGTCGATTCTGGCGTGATTCTCTTAACTTAAATCTAAATTTAACATCAGTCTCTCTTTTTCATTCTGTATAGAGAATGACAAGGAAACACTGTTCTCAAATTTAAGTTTAGATTTAGAGAATCGTGCCAGAATCGACACCATTGTAATACTAAATGCACTGTACTTACATAGATGCCTTGTCGTTTCTCTGCTCCGCAGAGCAGAAATCGGGGTTCAGTGCAACAAATACACCAACCATCAATGCGTCAATTCTTGGCAGATTTGTGCTTTCTGCTTTCACAAAGCCGGCATCCATAATTAGTTTAGTCAAAAAAAAACAAATTTACTGTTTTTTTCTTTCCTAAAGTTAATTGTTTTAAGATAAATTTAGTCAGACGATAGAATCCACCTACAGTAACACGCGAATGACATTTAGTTGTTTACCACAAGAGACGTCAAAATCATGGCGGATGTGGCGAACAGCGTTTTTAGTGTTTAAAAAATATAGACTAAAAAATATTTTTTTAAATTAAATTTCTACAGCAATCTTCTGCTTTTATGAAGTGAAATCGATATATTAAGGTTCCTTAGACTAAACACTTTAAGAAATAAACATTTATTTAATACAATTCGACATGAGTAAACTAGCCTATTGTGCCGATGTAAATTTTACAGTGTTTTGACATGTATTTTGTCCACAAAACACATACTTTATAATATTGTCACTCATCTTTGTGATAGTAAATATCAAACACAAAATTTCAAATAAAACAAACAAACCAGAGCGTTGTACATATAATACCACGAGGTTCACGAGCGCTATGATCAGTTGTGAAAGCGTAATGGAAGACAGCAAGTGATGTGGGGACGGTGCGAGAGAGTGGAAGATAGAGAAAGAGCGAAATAGAGAGAGGCGCGTAGTGTGAAATACATGCTTCGCTGCAGCTGCACGCACAACACTTTATTAACGATTTTTGTTACTTCCGCTTGTCCAAATCGGCAGATTATATGTTTTCCATGATCCTTGAATTATTACATTAAATAAAAAAATCAACCGCGCTCGAGAATGTCCAGAGACATCGTTTTTTTTTGCAACTTTGCAACCCTCCCACTCCCTTTCGTCACGCTCAAATCGTCAGATTATTGAAATGCAATTAATTACTTAAACCACCATACCTTAATCTGACGTGCTCGAGTATTTCCGTCTATCGTTTTTTTTTTACTATTCTGATCGGCTGGTCTACGCGCGCGGCACTACATGGAAACCTCAGATTAGAGGTACTCTACTAGATATAAGGTATCTTCCCATATATTAATCTGCCGCGCTCGAGTAAATCCCCAAATCCCCTCTTGGGCTCCCCTATTATTATGAATAATCATGCACTATTACTAGGTCACATACGAATACGAACATGCATCCTTTATGTAAACGAAAGTTTGAAATCGAGTTTCTGAACGCAACTTAAAGTGACATTTGGTTGACGATTTAGGTTATCAATGGTTATCAACCATTCATATTGAAGTCTAATATTGAAGAATTGGCTGTATGGATTTCATTAACGGAGTGTTAAAAAAGGGTTCCAAGATTTTTTTGCAAACCGTACTTTTCAAGCGACATTTGACAGATAGAGGTCATTGGCTTTCTATTCATAATTGAATCGCATTATCAATGATGTCAGACGTACCAACTTCTTGGTATACATACTAGTTTTTAGTGTCACGTACCATGTACCAAGGCTATTCAGTCCTTGTACTCAAAAATACCAAGATTGGCCGTTGACCGACAAAAATACACTGACAATATAGAATAATCGTCAAATTTTAGAGATTCATGTAAAAAAAAATCCAATCAATTGTACGTGCTTATAAACGATTAATATTCTTCAATTGATGAAAGAATCGAGTATATATAGTATATTTCTTGCGTGTGTTCGATAATCACTGCCCTCTATTAACGGTCTACGAAATTGAAATGTACATTTTTTTTACTGGGATGATGCGATTTCCCACACAGCTCCCAGAATTGGCAGCGCCGCAGAGCGGAGCACAGGCGTACTAGTTTCCCGGCTCGAATACCAGCTTTCAGCCAGCTCGGCACAAGGATTTCTAGGTGCCCATCTAACATCCCTGCGCATTATACCATAGAGAAAAGTAATATTATTTTTACTAGAAACATTATACTCTACATATACTTGTATGTGCTGTGGTTTGTGAAATTAAAAATATTTTTTTTAAAATAGTTTTGCTTGGTGTAGTGTTGACGTTAATTGGTATAAGTGAAAACCGTGGTGCATTAATATTATACTTATTATTTTACACCGCACAGCAATATGTAAATAAGCCTATGTCTATTTTATTAAAGTATACCTTTTCTTTTGGCACAGCAATGATTCTAATACGATTTACATATTCATTAGTCAAACCATTATGCACTACTGTTTGTAAACAATCAATTTTTGCTTATCAGAAATGTAACTTTCATAGCCTAGCTTTGAAGCAAACATTTTATATTAAAAATAAAATCTGCTTCCGGACTTGTCTTACTACCACATCACAAGAAACTGATAAAAGTAAGATATCGAACGAACTATAGAAATGTTTAACCTTTTATTTTATTTTTATTTTAACCTTTACATTAAAATTACAGGCAATTACACAGTCAAGGAACAGATAATCACAAAAATGAATTTTCAGTCTACAGAGCATGCTATAGCTTTTTATAAATTACCTATAAAAACGTTACTGCATTTATATAATGTTACCAGAAATGATGAAAAACATGGATATTGTAAAAACAGGTTATATTATGTATCTTCTAAGTTAAAGGTTTCGTCTCCCCAATCTATTCAAAAATTCTTTGACCATCTTTTAATTTCTAGACAAAGAAAACTTTCTAGTAAAAATCGTCTCTATTATTAGATAGGTCAAAGTGTTTTTTTATGTTATCATATTAAATGTTTTTTTCTAGTGAGTAAATTTTTTTTCAGTGCCCACCTTCACTACTAAGTAAATATGTTGCTAAAAGAACTTTCATTTATAGCTTATCATTTGATTGGCTGGAGAAATCGTTAAATGTGTTACTGGGTAAAGTATATTATTGAAAATTGAGTTAATGTAGTCTTTAGTAACATGCATGGATATTTTGAAAAATATTTAGTTTTGCTTGCTTGAAAGCAGACATATAGTTTTATATATCATGTTTTCAGAAATGGGAGTTTCTTGTGACCGTATCATTAGAGATTTATGGGTTCTAAAATATAAGGCTGAAACTATACAAGAGAGATTAAAAAGAGTCAAAGCTATGGGTATAGACAATATGTATCCATGGATGGTTAGATGTTCAGAAGATATATTAAATAGGTAATACCTAAATATTTTTATTGCAATTTCTACATTTAAACTAAACTAAGTTTTCTAGGACTTCTTAGGATTGAAATCAGGTTCAGATTCTTTTGTTTTGCTAGCATCTATAGCTAGGCTATAGTAGCGCCACTTGAAATCAAGCAGACTATACATATTCGCTACGCTTTTTATAAAAGCAATTAAATGCAAGCTTGGCAGTTTTAGAGATAGATTTTAGACCCTATCCTGTCTTCATCTCAATAGAAGGTATATCACTTTACTTTTAGACATGTATCAATTTCTCAAGAAACGACACATATTCTTGGCAATAATGAAAACATACATACATATCTTGCAAGACGTCTCAATACGACAGTAGAAGATGTGGAAGAAATGTGTATTAAGACGCCAGCTTTAAAGACTATAAGAGCCATCAAGGTAAAATCATTTTATTTTATTCTGATTGTATGGTCATATTCTTTAGTTTGATATCTACTTAAGGTTGAATATCGGACAGCAAAAGACATAATAAGGGATTTTGTAACTGAATATGTTGCTGTGACAACATAATATTTATTTTTTATATTATCCAGTGGAGATAATTGTGCAGTACAGTATGCAACCTTACCAATCAACTTCCTATTTAACATGCCCACTGTTCTTTATTATAACCATGATATACGCCAACATTGCCTACAAGGTTATCTTCGCCATTTTTGCAAGTTACAATTAAATCTTTGATGTGCAAAAATATTTTTATATTATGGCAAACTTGATTAACTTTAGCAAAAAGTTGGTAATATTTCTGGCATTACAAACTATTCTGTGTAGCTTCACGTAATAATGTATTTGCTATAACATGTAATAATAAACTATTTGCAGGCCATTTTAGTGTAGTGCTGAGGGCTTAGTTAAACTAATTTTATGACGATGGGCAGTTATCCAGTATTGTTCCAACCTATGATTGACAACATTGCCCGTCGCCAAAAAAGGCCTAGGGTTGGCAAATGTGTTAATATAATTAACATTAAGTATATAAAATAATAATTCATAATTTAAGAAAATTAAGGATAACATCTTAGATATTACTTGAAGTCAATACAAAAGTAAAAAAGAATATTGTTCTTATTAAAATTAAAACTTTATTACATTTAAAAAAAAAATGTAATATATTGTTGTTGTTGTTTCTTTATTTTTCTTTACCTAATCACATATTTTTGTAGAAATGAAAAAGAAAATCAATCTTTTTCTCGAACCATTACCATTTTTGATAACTTAAAGATTGTATGGGAAAGGGAAAAAATTACAGGCTAAAATTGCTCAGTCATTTTACTAGAAAACTTTCCTGTTTATCACTTAAGTTCCTAAAGTAATCGCCATCTTTTCTTAAATTCTTCCAACGGTCTTTTAGATTTTCATGTAGAGGCCATACTATGGTCAGAAATCGTAGTGAACAATATTGGCTAAAAATCCAAATAACTTTGTCTACCATCGAAATACTCCAAAACTCGAATGTTGAAAATAATGACATTTTGATGCGCTACTACGTGCCCACGATCTTTACGATCACGAGTCACATCTAATAAAAAAAATACTCAAGTTACCATTGAAAAATCCAAAAATAATAACGGTAAAAATAATTATTTGAAATTAACGGGTAATGTTGGCGTGTTTCACGGAAGATTAATTGGTATCCTTTCTTATCTTTATAAAAATTAATTTGTAATAAAATCATCTTTGCAGGTAAAACATTTTTTGGACTATTTAATAAGTGAGGGCATCACTCCTGAAGATATTGCAAAAAAACCTCGAATACTCGCTGCTTCTCAAAAAACAGTAAAAAAAAGGGTGGATAAATTAAGGCAGTTAGGTTTTCAAGCTATCAATTTAAATATACTTTGTAGAAGCAAAAAACATTTCAAAAAATTTTGTGATGCTTTTGAAATTTCTACTAAAAATAGTTTTGACTAGTTTTAATAAATTAATCTGTAAAGTACAAAATAATAAAATGCTTTATCTTGTTTTTTTTTTTTATTTCGACACCAATTATTAGCTTAGCCCAAAAGTAAGCACTGTAAGGCTTGTGTTATTGGATACTAGGGTAACGGATAGAATAGAATAGTTTATTATATTTTTAAAGAAATACATATTAAACATCCATGACTGGAGTACAAATACTCGTATTCATCACACACACATCTGCCCCCACCGGAATTCGAACCCGGGACCTCTCGAGTCGGCGTCACCATCAAACCCGGCGTACAAACCACTCGGCCACGGAGGTCGTCAAATATCTCGTTAGACTTTCATTTAGGATATACAGAAAGCTCAGTATATAAAATTAATTATGGTCTTATTTTTTTTTCTTTGTTTTTTGCCTTTTTACCCGGCTGCGCAATGCAAAAGCGCGAAGCGCGACGCGTAGACAGGGTTATGTGTTTAACAGTCTATATATGTATGTTTGTTCCTTTGTGGCACACTAGAGACCAAACGCCTGGACCGATTTTGATGATTCATACATCAATCGATTCGTCTCAATCATGGGAGTGCTACTAAAGATATGATAGTAATCAAAATTCAATATGGGCAAAATTAGGCGCCATATTGTGACGAAGTAAAAAAAATAAGTTGACAAAATATGTCGAGTGGGGTATCATTGTCTAGATAATCAAAAATCATATTTAGGTTCCTAACACCATTTTTCATTTTATGTGATTGTTTAGGATCTACAACGCTTTAAAGTTGTATATTAACCACTTACGCTTTTAATTTCAATCTTACGTTTATATGGATCTTTGTTACTCTTTCACCTAAAAAATACTGAATGGATTTTAATGAAACTTAACAGTAATATAGCTCATATATGATTATTACATATACATATATAATAATTTATGTAGTTATTGAGTGAATTGGCCAATGTATAACAATAAGTGTCACATAAGACGGAAAAAAATCTCCCATCTGCGAGCCATTTTGACCTGCACTGCAAAAACAATAAAAGTTATATGAATGTAATGTAGAGTGAAAATGTATCTCTTAAATAGTTCTAAAAAAAAGTCCGTGACACCATATATCTATTTTTAATGTGTGAGTCATTACCGCTAAAATAGTGAATCAAAACTAAAAAAATATTTGATATCTATTTCCAAAATGCACATTTTGATTAACAAATCATTTTTTTATCCAAACAAATACTTTTATCGCTTTTGATATTTAAAGGCGATAAACTTTGCTTTTTACACTATGTTATTTCGACAAATATTTAAAAAGTTACAACGATGACAAAGTGATAGCGCGGTGTACTATGTAAGAGAAAAAAAAAGGGGTATTCGCAGTATCTGATCCTATACGAAGTACTAACAATAAAACTGTGATACAGTTCCTTCTTATTAAATGATGAAAAATATATTATCATAATAGGTATTTATGATTATTGAATTTTAATGAAAAACTCAGAATTTTACTGTTTTTCATTTTTTTTAACGATATTACTTAATGTTACAAAAAAGGTTTACTAAATATAATGACAAATAACCCATTTTTCGCTAGTAAGTACATACTTATTGGAATCCCTGTATTTATTAATCAGCTCGCGATAATATTGGTTTTGTAATAATTCTGCAAAAATCAAAGTAAATAATGTAGATTTTTATAGGTACATCACCCCTTTCATCACCCTACGGCTATAAGTATTGCGATGTTGTAGCTAAGAACCAAGTTCCCATCTACTTCTATATGGGAATTCATTATATTCGATTTAGCTATTAAGGCACGGAAGCGCAACAAACAAACTCACTTTCGCATCTATAATATTATATTATACTTACTAGTGATCCACCCGGGTATTGTACGGGCGAAATTTATTTATCGGGATAAAATATAGCCAATGTCACTCGGACAAAATGTATTTAAATAAAGATAAATGTTATATTAAATAATGTAGCTACCTTATGATGAATTAATATTTGAAACCGGTTCAGTAGTTTGACAGATTATTTGTTACAAACATACAAATCTTGCCTCTTTATAATATTAGTATAGATAGTTAGGATAAGATAAGTATTTAATTGATGAAAAAGATTTAAAAATAAAGTAAGTAATAGGTTTATTTGATTATATTTGTAAAAGTTACTTAGCATTTGTGCTTAACAGTGATACGTTATTCGGTATTTTTTATACAAAAAAAAATTTGGAAAATAATTGCTATGATTGCACTACTGGGAGTACTCTTCATTCGAGTTTTACACTACCAATAAAAAAGGGTCGAATACAAAGTCTTTGACCTGTTAAATGTGAACCCCGGACCCCGCTGGTAAAGTCTTTATGTCTTAATAAATCAATCTTTTAGACCGACGCAAGGTACTTAATAATACCCGCGATATTAATTCCCTTACTGAAGTAACAAGATTACGGTATATACCGTCTTAAAATACTAACTAACTAAAAAGTGTGAAATAAAAAAGGTAAATTTAAAAAATCAAAAAACCCGACTGCTTAATTATACTTCAAATAAATACTAAAAAGAAAAAAACAAGTCCATTAGTCTATAATTCTGTTAGTAAGGAACAAAGCTACTTTAACAGTCGGGACCCACTGTTGAAAAATATTATGTATTCTTGAATATCTAATGGGTCCCGACTGTTAAAGTAGCTTTGTTCCTTATTAACAGAATTATAGACTACTGGACTTGTTTTTTTCTTTTCAGTTTTTATTTGAAGTATAATTAAGCAGTCGGGTTTTTTGATTTTTTAAATTTACCTTTTTTTTGCAACTATGAATGAAAGGATTGGTGAAATTCAGCTTGACAGATTTTATTTTAGTGTTCATTCTTTTAATTATAATTCTAAGTTCCGTTTATTTTTTGATTTAATCCCCACAGTAAAATATATTTTCTAATTTTTATCAGCCTATGGTATTTTACCACTTGTTATTGTATAAACATTCATAGATTTATAAATATAGATACAGTAGTAATCCAGTATAAAACTAAAATATTGTTTTTTAATATCTTTCCTATAATTATACTATGTAAGCTCAATTGAAGACATTCTACATAACTGATTAAGTACTAAAATAATTGCAAGTATTTATATGTGAGTACTGCGTGGGTCATACGATTTCACAAGCTTAAGCGGCTGTCTCTGGGATTGCTGAATCCGGGTTCACTTGGTACGCGTCATGATGAATTTCTGTCTACTGTTGAGTGTAACAATGTGGATATATCTACTAGCAATCAACGAGATGTGGCTCCGGGCGGGTGAAGATGCACGAGTACCTGCAGCGCGCGGATACAGGTTGCGGCACTTGCCGCGCCCAACTGGCGTGCGCTCGCACTGAGGTGGCGTAGGGTTTTATCTTAGATGTGGTTTATACGCGCGACTTCTCCAGCATCCCATAACGCCCACTGTCGAACAAATGTAGATAGGTATCAACCTGGACGATTTGCTGTAGGTACCGCATAATAGACGCTATGCCATTCGTTACCGATACCGATTTGTTCATTGCTTCTATAAACACATCTATTGTGTTTATAGCGAATCGGTAACCTTTTTCTATATCTATGACCACTTAGTATTGCTAGGCGATTTCATTAAAGATTTGCTAAAAACTTGCTTGCTTGGGACTTCGTTAGTATGTAAATAAGCCAACATATTTCATAGACCACTCTGAAACATTACTACATGCAGAGCCATCTTTCCCAGTGGGCACTTTGGGCAAGTGCCCAGGGCCCCGCGATCGATAGGGGGCCCCCTCAGATCAAATACAAAATCCCTAGTTCCTGTTAAATCACCAAACTGAAGTCATAGGGGCCCCATTATCCTAATATGCCAAGGGCCTCCAATAGGTCAAAGACGGTACTGACTACATGTAATATGCAGCTTAACAAAAATTATGAACGTCTAGGTTGACCATGTGCCTGATCTAAGTAGCCATGCTTTTATTTCTTGCGAGTTGACTTAAGAAAGAGAGAAAACCAAAATCGTTAGTTAAGTTCATAACGTACAGACCTATTAGATATATAAATTTGGAAAGTTTTAACTGACATGTGGCTGAGATACCCTGGGATATTAATACGTTCATGAATCTCTAGCTTCATTTAATTAACATAATTATATTATTTGATGCTTATGCTCCCATAAAAATATCATACGTTAAGTAACAATGTTACCCCTGGATAACCCAAACTACCATAACGATAAGGCATAATATGATGCATCGAAGGAACAAAGCGTACGCAAAATCTAAAAGGACGAAACATGATTCTGATAAAGTACCTACATTACAATAAATTGAAGAATATTGTGAACGTCTTTCATAACGTGAAAATTGTAAACAAAGCTGTTTTGAGAGAAATCGGCATATTTTCAAATTATATAAATAAAAATATGAAAGATCCGCGAGTGTTCTGGAAGAACATAAAGAAAAATGTTGTTTATTTAAAAAAATATCTCTGACCCTAAAAAACTAACTATCACTTTCTCAAAGCTACCTGCCATTCGCCTAACGGATATGCTTTGGAAAACGCTAACGCTTAAGATTTTATTTTGTTATTTCTAGCCGCCTGAGGATTTTAAATGCCTCGCGCTCTTTTTTTCTCTTACATTGGTAATTACAATATTAAAAAAAATGAGCGTGAGGTATTTGAAAAACGTTCGGCGATCAGAAATAACAAAATAAAATCGAAAGCGTTAGCGTTTTCCTAAGCATTTCCGTTAGGCGAATGGCCCCCTGGCACTGATGATGTTGATAAAGATTGTTTAATGTACCGAAAATAAAATCGCTTAAATTTTTAGATTTTTCGTTTGAAGCCATCGATGGGATTGTATTTCAGCAACCACGTGCATGAGACAGTCGGGCAATGCTACTATAGATTGAAAGTTCTATATCGTATACGTCAGTTTTTAATACGTTATCGCCACTATGGCAATTAGTTTAAGTACTAGATCAGAGTACGAGGCCTATCCAATTACAGCGAGGAATGCGAAAGGGAGATGTGATCTCCCCGAAGCTGTTTACCGCTGTGCTGCAGGACGTCTTTTCGGCTTCAGAATTAGAGCGGACTAGGCATCAACGCCAACGGCGCACTCTCCTTCGAATTATCGATGTTATAGTCGTATCGCAGACAGTAGTGTCTCTCAACACAATAGAATAGAGGCTATTCAAAGGCGATACCCAAGTTCGGTATGAGGCGTAAGTTGGGCACATACGAGGCTAGGCTTGAGTATTTTAATATGAACACCCTTCCATCCAGGCGAGACATAGCGAATTTATCGACACTTCACAAAATTGTAAACTCTGTTTGGGACGTGGAGGATCTGTTGAGCCGCTTTTCATTCAAAGTGGGAGGAAGTAAAAGGGTGCAGAAACTTTTTTCCGTACCAACTTGTAGTAATAATGTTAGCTACAATGACCCATTATATAGAATGAGCCGGCCCTTAATGACGTGGATATCTTTGCCCTTTCCCACTCCTCTTACTTACGAATATGCAGGAGCAAATTGTAATTAAATTGATTTTTATTATTATCTATAATTCTTGATTAGTACATACAAATTTAATTATTTCTTTTTTTAATTGTAATTCCATATTTATTATAATAATTATTTTTTCAAATTTGAGAGCTAAAATTAAGCAAATGTCGTGTTCAGCATCAATTGGGGTGCCAGTTCATGTAATACAATAATTATGTTTAATAATATGTAAGTTATAATTTGTACTCTTGTCACTGTACCATAAATAAATAAATAAACAATACTCAGCGACCTCAGCAAATCCTCTCAACTCAGAGCCCATATGAACACGAGTAATCCAAAAATTATGTCTTACAATCAGGTTATCAAGGGGAGCTCCAATTTCTACCTTCTATCCTACCGCTCTTACGGAATCAGGCTGTTTCCCCCAGAGATGTGTTAGGACAGTTAGCGAGGAACGTGTTTGTATTAAACCAATACAACTTCTCGAGGCGGTTAGTGCAAGCTATTGCTTATGCTATTTCGTCTCTGCTAATCGTTACAATAAAACATGCCGGGATTGACAATACTTGATCTGTGCCACCCACCACTTTAACGATGGGGTCGATGGAACCTTTATATCCAACTGTCAAATTATATTTTGTAAGGTAAGCTCATTAAAGGAGTATTGGAATAAAACCAGTTATTAATATCATTGATGATTATTTGCCTCAGCCATATAAAACAAAATGTCCCTGGAATGAAATACATAAAATATTCTCACTAGCATTTAAACCCACATGCTCAACTGCAAAAAATGTATCACCAAAGTGTTTCTATGGAAATGGAATACAAAGGTACTTTGATTTGCCAGCGGTATATTTGAATTAACCACTAGCAAGTCACTTGCAAATATTGATGTCTAATTTACATTATGTTAACTGTGATATTTTGTATGTATATATATATTTATTATACTAACTATGATGATATTACATAGTGTGAGGTTCTAGTGCAATCCATAAAGGATAAATTGAACTACTGATGAGCACATTGCATACCAGGACCAGCGTGCATGTGCTCATCATCATCACTAGCATATGCTTCTTCTCTACCTCTGCCTTTCTCACTAGCTGTGTACTCCATCAAATTTACTTCCTCCACCTCTTCTCCAGTAGGCATGACAAATGCAGGACGAGGAGGTAATATACTCTCAATTTGTTTCAGTTGATCCTCTGTAGCAAAATTGTTTTCAGGAAATACAACATCAAACTTTACATATAAATTTCCTTTCTCAAATGGGTTTTTAAATTGTGGCATTCCCTCTCCCTGGATGCCCTTAAGATCTCCAGGCTTCACAATATCTCCAGGAGCTTGTCTAACCAGAAGATCTCGACCGTCTAAATGTTTCACAACAAATTCAAAGCCACATAAAGCTTCAGTCAAACTTATCTCACGTTTGATGACAAGATCATCACCAGTTCTTTGAAACACATCATGAGTTTTCTGTTGCAACACAATAATTACATCTCCAGGTTGTGTATCAGGTTGTTGATCACCTTCACCTCTGAAGAAAATTTTCTGATTTTCACGCATACCTTTCTCAATATGAACTTCCAGTATCTTAGTTTCATTTATAACTTTTTTACCTTTGCATTTAGTGCATCTATCTTTTTCATTTATAGTTTCTCCTTGGCCATGACATGACGGGCACCTTGTCTGGAATTGTCTGGTCATATGTGGGGCAATCTGTTGATAAGACACTTTCAAACCTTGACCATGACAATCTTTACATGTTACAACTGATCCTGGTTTTCCACCAAATCCCTTGCAATGACAACAGATCACATTTTTACTAAGTTGCAGTTTTGCTGTTTTACCCATATACATGTCTTCTAATGATACTTTAAGTGTATGTATAGTATCTTCACTACGAGCAGGCCCTCTACCTCTGCTCCCACCACCCATCCCAAAAATGTCACCAAAGAAATGTCCGAATATATCATCAGGTTGAAAACCTCCGGAACCACCACCGCCTTCTTGAAGCCCTTTTAATCCGTATTTATCATAAATCTGTCTTTTCTTCGGATCTGATAATACTTCATATGCATAACTTATTTCTTTAAATTTATCACCCGCAGCTGGATTTTTATCTGGATGGAATTCTTTTGCCAATTTGTGATAACTCTGTAAGCAAAAATTTATAGATACATGACAAAATTACATCAGACAAAGTGAGTGCCAGTTTTTTGAAATGACATGTGTATGCTGTATCTTTTGAGTTTACAATAAAATTAATTCAAATATACATTAAAAAAACATCTTACCCTTTTGATTTCGGATTCGCTGGTATTTTTAGAAACTCCTAACAGATCGTATAATTTGCTGTCAGCCATTTTTTCCTTTCAATCCAAGTTCTAAACGCTACAGAGAGAAAGAACAAGGAAACACGAAGTGAACGAATGATCGAATCGCGATGCGCATGAAATGAATGACAGAGACAGACAATGAATACGTAGTCAATGTTGCCAGAAAAACCAGTAAGTTATTTCAGATTAATTTTCTTTTGTCTGTAGCTTATTTAAATTTTTCTGAAAATTTAACACAGGCTTTTGCAAAACTGATATTTGTTACCGATAAACAAGCAGTGCGAGTGGCACATTACAAAGGCTTCGTCACTTTGTATAAAGATGACCGACCATAGACAAGGCGGATTTCCTTGTCTATGGATTTTGGATTCTCCTTATCCTATCTGTTTATGCCATAAAGTCTTTGGTTTATGCTACAGTCACATAAAGCGAATACTCGCTGCGAATGGAGGCGCTATTCGCTGCGAATGCATACTCGCCACGACTATTCGCTACGAATAGAATCACTCGCCGCGAATTGAATTCGCTGCGAGTAGAATTGAACACGTTCAATTTTACTCGCAGTGAATACCTTGTGACTAGGATAATCTACTCGACTTATTTAATTAAATACGAAAATTGCTAATTATATTTTAAAAGACTTTTATTTATTTCGACATGTTAAAATAGACAACAATAATTTCTAAACAAACTAATATCTTAATAAAAATGTAATCGACTAGTGCTGCAGCCATAGACATAGGTGCCAATTCTAGTGTGATTCTCTAAACTTAAAACTAAATTTAACATCAGTCTCTCCTTTTCATTCTGTATAGAGAATGACAAAGATATACTGCTGTCAAATTTAAGTTTAGGTTTAGAGAATCATGCTAGAATCGACACCATGGTATTCATTGGGTACGGGTGCGGCCAGAGTGCACTCAGATTCAGACTCAGATTCAGATTTCGAAAACAAGCGCGAGAAATAAACAGTGTAGTCGAAGGGTACGGCCAGATTGCACTCCTGATTCAGATTCAGATTCAGACTCAGAAAACAAAGCGCGAGAAAAAGCAGGCAACCTGCTTAGACTACACTGTTTATTTCTCGCGCTTGTTTTCGAAATCTGAATCTGAGTCTGAATCTGAGTGCACTCTGGCCGCACCCTACGGCTAGAGTGCACTCAGATTCAGATTCAGACTCAGAAAACAAGCGCGAGAAATAGGGTGCGGCCAGAGTGCACTCAGATTCAGATTCAGATTCTGAAAACAAGCGCGAGAAATAAACAGTTTAGTCTAAGCAGGTTGCCTGCTTTTTCTCGCGCTTGTTTTCTGAGTGTGAATCTGAATCTGAATCAGGAGTGCACTCTGGCCGTACCCTTCGACTACACTGTTTATTTCTCGCGCTTGTTTTCGGAATCTGAATCTGAATCTGAGTGCACTCTGGCCGCACCCATATACAGTGTAGTTTAAGCAGGTTGCCTGCTGCCACTATGGCCACCCTGCTTTAACTACACTGTTTAAGCATTTCTGAATCTTTTTTCTGAATCTGAATCTGCGTGCACTCTGGCCGTACCCATAGGGTACGAGTCGGCCGTACCCAGAAAACAGGCTCGTGAGATGTCAGCTTAAGGAAAGCAGGTGATGGCCACAGTGGAGGCAGATAATACAAGACGCGGACGCGAGCACTGTTGCCAGGTTGGGGGAGGTTACTCCAAATTTGGTAAAGCGATGGGGGGATTAATGGGGGAAGAAATTTTGTTTTGGGGGAAACGGGGGGTTTCTTTTCTTTACATTTTATATAAATAAAACCACTTCATAAACTTTTAATCTGTAAAAAGTCGCAATCGACAGTCATTCAACAGTGGTGTCGATTCTGGCATGATTCTCTAAACCTAAACGTAAATTTGACAACAGTGTATCCTTGTCATTTTCCATACAGAATGAAAAGGAGAGACTGATGTTAAATTTAGTTTTAAGTTTAGAGAATCACGCCAGAATTGGCACCAGTCTCTCTTTCTCATTCGACGCGTTCGAAGCTGTTGATCCAGAAACTAAAATTGGGGGGTGTTTTCGCAGTTGTAAACAAGGAGGAGTTTTCTAATGAAGATCGATCGGAGAATATGGGGAATACCATCATTTGTTTCCCTAATTAAAAGTCGATAGGAAACGTTTCTTCCAATATTTTAGGATGGAAGTGGAAACGTTCTAACTACTACATTTATGTGGTTACAGTATGTGGTTTTAATATTTACTTTATTTTTGAAATAAATATATTTTTGTTGCTCTTTGCCTTACTAATATTATAATAACAATCTCTCATATTTTTTAAGAAAGCTTTTACAGTCAAAGATATGCTATAAGCAAAATATAGTAATTTCGCCTACTACGTATTTTTTAGAAATATAGTATTTGATCCCCTATTAAAGTAGGATACTATATTTTATAGGAGGGTTAGCAACCCTACCTGGAGTCCGAGCGGCGCTGTTGAATTCAGAATCTGAATGACCTAAACATTCCGGTAAAGTGTCTGACTCCGAAACCTGCGCGGGCCTGCTGCCACTATGGCCACCCTGCTATAACTACTCTGTTTATTTCTCGCGCTTGTTTTCTGAGTCTGAATCTGAATCTGTATCTGAGTGCACTCTGGCCGTACCCTATGGCTGCCTCGACATTCTGCCACTCGAAGAGCAAAACAGGTTCATTGCCATAGTTTCTTGGGTGGCTTAACCTGACTTCCACTGCGGGTGGTACAAGGCGCAGGATTCTTCTGTTGCACTACGTCCTTCTCTGGATCCACTTCGTCCACGACTTCTCCCTCCTGATCAGGCTTTTCCGTCGTATCACTAACATGTATCTCGTCATGCGTTATTTCTAGTGGATATAATTAGCGCACCGCTCTGACGAATTCTCCATTCTCCGTTTTCACCTTGACTACCCGCACCTTCCCATCCGGACTCTCTTCTTCCCATCCGGACAAAAGTTTCACTGAAACTTTTCCTGGAACGCATGAACTGGCCTATGCCAGTTCATGCGTTTCGACCCATTCTTACGCTTCTTTCTGACGGTGGACGAGCAACGCTAGATAGTCTGATCTTTGCCGCAGATCCAGACGCAGCTTTTGAACGTACTTCAAACGTCTATTCAGGCTTTTACCGTCAACGACATCTAAATCCAGAACATCATTACTTGGCAACGGATGAATGAAATGATTTGGCGTCAATGGCACTAAATCTTCTGATTCGGACACGTATGTAAGTGGCCTCGCATTTATGGCAGCCTCGATGTCACATAGCACCGTTAGTAACTCCACGTAATTTAGTCTTGCATTACCAACTACATAACAATGCCTTTAACATCTGCACCATCCTCTCCCAAAATTCACCCTACCAAGGCGCTGCTGGTGGGCTAAAGTGCCATTTTATCTGACTACAATGTGGATTGAGTACTATATCATTCCAGTCGATATTTTCGAGCAAATTGTGAGCTCCAGTAAAGGATAATGTTAAAGTTGGCCTAAGAACCAACACCAATTTGGCATTTATGATAATTCTTAGTATATTTTTTGCGATAATTATCAGTATTTAGATTGTGACGGACACTTCCAGTTAAGTAAGCTAAATTAAAAAGTTAAAAAATAATCTGAGACAATAAATATCATTTTATGTGTATAATCTATGGCAGCGCTGCAAACAAAACACTCTTTCTTCCTAATGCCGGCACTTCACTTGGCTATTCGTATTTGCTATTTTAAAACATGACATCAGTCTGTCCTTTTCATTCCTTATTAAGCATGACAAGGACAAAAAGTTGTCAAGTGAAGGGCCGGCATAAAACTGTTACTCTGTGGTTGTGGTGCATGCAGTTTGCATTCGTAGTAATCTGTGGCATTCGTGCATTCCAAAGAGTAGTATTATATACCGGAAAGTGCGTTCCTGTGGTGCGTTCTCGTTTCGGATTACCGGTTGTGTGTGTTTATTTGCGATTGTTTTTCCTTTAATTTAACTATTTCGGCTATCTAATATGCCATCGATGTTACCAAAGAGCAGAGCCCTTATTACCAAGTGCTAGTGAACCTGTGCCACAACAGCCTGAGAGGATCATACTGCCAAATTATTCAAGAACAAATGATACACATTCACGCTGCATATTTACACAATATGTGATATACAAATAAATACAATAAACAATATGATACAATTATGTGAAAAATAGTCAATAAATAAGAAGCAAAACTACAGTTTTTAGTTTATTCATGATTCCTACCTAACCAAGTTTAAAACCTAATAGTTATTCTTTAAAATCACACCGAATAAAATGAATTAGTTGTAATATTAATTCACTTAATACTGAGTTTATACTAAATTCAGGGGTGGACCTATGTTTCATTGATATTAAACATAACCTCAAAAAAAATTAATTTTCCTAATAATTTAAGTTCTCAGAAGTGTCCGTCAATAATCTTTGTTTTTACAGTCATTTACTTACGATTTTGAACTTAGAAAATAATATTTCATGATTGTTGGTTCTTAGGCTAACTATGTATGGACGCTGAACAATGTCCTTTGCTACTTACCATTATCCGAATAAATTATTTTCACCCTTCCTCTTCTTAACGCACAACATCTTAACGCACTTATAAAAGCTTCGGTCGACAAAGAGTACTTATTCCAAATGTAAAGCTGGATATACTGCACATGTGAAAAGGACAATATAACATTTTTCTCCATTTGCTAGAAACAATGGGCCTGCAGCCTAATCAATTGCCGTTATTTCAAATGCTACTGCCAAACCTACTCTATCATAAGGCAGTGATGCTAGAGGCGTCTCGCAAGCTTTTGCACTATATCGCTTGCATTTTATAGTTTCCTACTACT